TGCTGAGGATCGAACCCGGGCCGCACGCATGCTAGGCGAGCGCGCTACCGCTTGAGCCACATCCCAGCCCCGTGGATTGCAAGTTTGAGACCAGGCGTGGATTGCAAGTTTGAGACCAGGCTGAGCATCTTAAGGAGACCCTGCCTCAAAACAGAATTTGAAAAGACTGAGGATGTAGCTCCGGTGGTAGAGTGGCTCTGGGTTAACCCCCAGGACCTCACAAACACAAGAACAGCACAGACTTGAGCTCCAGGGTGGCCCAGTGCTGTCGTTTACATCTGGAATTTCCCTCAAAGGCGCATTTATTGACAGCTTGGTCCCCAGCCCAGGGCACTACTGGGAAGGAGAGGTGCACCCATTAAGAGGGGTCGCCTTGGGTCACTGTGCGGTGCCCTCAGGGATGTGGGAGCCTAGTCTCTTCCTGTCTTCCCTTCTTAGTAGCCCCGAGGAGAGCAGCCTGGCTGCCCACCTGCTCCCACCGTGGGAGGCCAACTGACAGGGACTGGCGCCCCCGGCCACCAACATAGACCTTTCCTTTTATAAGCCGATCACCTCAGGTCTTTATTAATTACTAACGGAGGCTGACACACATCCAGACGCAAGGGCAGACCACAGAGCCCTGTCGTGGCCGGACACGTTGTTGAGGCCTGTTTGGGAAACACCGTCCTTGCCTGGTCCTTGGGTGGGATTCGTTTTCTCCCCCGAGATCCTCCTGTGGAAATACTTTGTTAAAAGCTCTGCTTTGTATTGTTCATGGCACAAATAAACTACAGTTATTCCGTTGGGCTGTTTGGATATTTGTTTTTAATTTTTCCTGATTGCAGGGGCAGTGCTACAGTGGGCCTTCCTGTGTCCCTTCCTGTGTCCTGTGTCCCCAGGGGGAAGTTTCCCTGAGGTGCATGTTCAAAACATCCAAGTCTTTCCCCTGGGTTTGCTAGGGGGGACAGATGGCCAGTGTGTCTAAGGGCCAGTGAAGGAAGGGAGTGAGCGAGGAGACGCAGCAGTGAGTGATGGGCAGGGGCAGCCACGCAGGCCTCGGGGTCATAGTAAGGGCCTTGGGTTTTTTTTTTTGTATGTGGAGGTCAGTACTGGGGGTTGAAGTCAGAGGAACTCACCAATGAGCCACATCTCAGCCCTTTTTTTGTGTGTTTTATTTAAAGACAGGTCTGAGTTGCTTAGCACTTCGCTTTTGCTGAGGCTGGTTTTGAACTTGAGATCCTCCTGTCTTAGCCTCCCCAGTTGCTGGGATTACAGATGTGTGCCACCGTGACCAGCAGGCCTTGGGTTTTATTCAAAAGACAACAGGGAGCCCTGGAAGGTCTTGGAGCTGAGGAATGATGGGTCTGATTTCCGATTCTCCTCTGGTTGCTGAGCAGAAAAGACATTGAGTTAACATGTAAAAGCAGGAAGACTTATTAGGAGGTAGAGGAGCACATGGCCTCTGACCAGCCCTGCCTCAGGGCCTTTGCACTCCTTACCTTTACTATGACCCTGCCTAGAACATTTCTCCCCAAGGTGTGTACATGAAGGGCTTCTTCTTCTTCTTCTTTTTTTTTTTTTTGAGGTGGGTACTAGGGATTGAACTCAGGGGCATTTGACCACTGAGCCACATCCCAGCCCTATTTTGTATTTTATTTAGGAACAGGGTCTCACTGAGTTGCTTAGCATCTCACTTTAGCTGAGGCTGGCTTTGAACTCAGGATCCTCCTGGCACAGCCTCCCGAGCTGCTGGGATGACAGGCACCACCGTGCCCAGTGGTGGGCTCTTTCTCATTATTCACATTTGACTCAAAGTCACTTCTCCTCCTTTGACCTTTGAAGATATAGGAAATGAAGTAGAGCAGCACCCCTGGCTCCAAACAGGCTCTGGTCATTGTGGGCAGAACACAGAAGGAAAGAGCTGGTGATGTCATTCAGTGGTATAGCACTTGCCTAGTGTGCGAGAGGCAGCAGGTTTGATCCCCAACACCACACACACAAATCGACCGCAGCTTTCTAATACATTCACAGTGCCACACAGCCACCAGGGCTTCAACTTCCAACAGTTTTTCATCACCCCAAAGGAAACTCAGCACCCCTGAAACAGTCATTCTCCCCCCTAATCCTGGAAAACACATTTCCTTTCCATTTGTCCTCTCTGGACATTTGTATAAACGGAACCATCTACTATGTGACCTAGCATGTCACATCCTTTCATGTGGCATGTGGTCCAGCCTCACCCCGTGTTGTGATGTGAACCAGTACTTGTGGATTTGAGGTTGGATTGTGCTCCCATTGACATGTTACAGCACTAAGCCTCCGGATCTCAGAAATAGGGCCTTTAAAGATGTACTTAAATTAGAATGAAATCATGGAAGTGGACCAGAATCCTGGTGTCCACCTAGGAAGAGGGAACTTGGACATAGACACACAGGGAGAAGGTGGCCATCTACTAGCTAAGAAAAGAAGTCCTGAGAAGAAACCAACCCTGCCAACACTAGATCTTAGACTCCAGCCTCCAGAATGGAGAGAAAATTACTGTCTGTCGTCAGGGAGTAAAGAAGGTGGGGAAAGGGAAGGTCCTGGGGAACCTTGCTGACAGATGAGGCAGTTCTGGGAATTGAACCCAGGGCCGCACGTGTGCAGTCCTCTACTGCTGAGCTACACCCTCAGCCCCTAAAATAAATTTCAGAGTCTAAAGTGAACCTTCCTCGTCCCATGTCCCTCCTCAGCAGGAAGACCCTGCTATTCTTTTCAATAAGCAATCTAAGTAAACAGCAGCCACACATTTTAATTCCCTTTTTTTCTCCTCTAAAATGTCAGCATAATGGACACCCTGCTAGGAACTTAGTTTTACTTAATTTTGGTGTGTGTACTTCCATGCAGAAACTTAGAGCTTCTTCAGTTTTCTGCAGTCATTCTTTGGTACATGTGGGGACTTGGTTCCAGGACTCCTGTGAGTACAAAAACCTGGGGACACTCAAGTCTTGTGTATAAAATGCACAGAACCGATGCACACCCTCGAAGAGGCTTCTGTCATCTCCAGGTGACTTATGGTGCCTAATGCCATGTATGCGCTATGCCAATAGTTGTCCCAGCTTGTTTAGGGGATGATGACAAGAAATGAAATCCAGACATATCTAGTAGAGTGCACCCTCCGGGGTTGGCTGAATCCTTGGATGCAGAACCTGTCGCCGTGGAAGTTGCTGTCTACAGCTGCATAGTATCCTGGGATCATACCTGAGGAATTGGGAAAGCAGGCACGAGCTGGGGTGGCTGAGGGGGTGAGAAGGGGGGGTGTGGGAAGTCGATGGTGGAAAGACGAGCCCCCATTATACAGGGCCTGATGGGCCTGGGGGAGGACTTTGACTTGAGTCAGGAGGAGATGGGAGCCATGGGAGGTTCTGAACCCAGGAAGGTGGAGACCCCACTCAGGTGCTCACTGGCGCCCTCTTTCCGTTGTGAGGGGAATAGACTGGGAGGGGTGATGGCGGGAACTGGGACACAGGTGGTGAATGTGCCCATCCAGGTGGGAGGTGATGGGAGCCGCATCCAGGTGAGGGGCCGAGGTGGGAGTGAGAAGCGGGAGGATGCTGGCTGGTTTCTGATACGGACCGTCGTGCTGTGGTGTCAGCCTGGGTTGGGGTGGCACAGGGAGTCCCAAATGTGAAATCAGCCTCTGCCAGGACCGACCCGCAGCTGACTGGATCTACAGGACATGGAAGGACGGATTCGGGGAGAGGAGGGAGGTTGGATCCAGCCGGGCTGAGTGGGGGCCGCCCGCCCTCCGGCAGGTGGTTCACCCAGGAGGCAGGTGTCCTCCGCGCAGCAGCCGCGCAGTCCCGTAAACCGCCGCCAGAGGGCGAGCGCGCCCCATCGCGGTCGCAGCTCCCGGGGTGGGGACTCGGGAACCGCCAGCCCCGCGGCTTCCCACGGCCCGGACGCCTGGAGCTCCGCACCTTGGTGCAAGATGCGCGCCGCCCAGGTGCTAAGACCCGGCCGGGACCTGCAGGCGCCTCGGGATGCCCAAAGCCCGGGACGTGGCTCCCCTCCCGTTCTGTGTTTCCAGCAGGTCAACCTCCACCCCCTACCGAGCTGTTCCCAAGCCTCTGGCAGCATCTCGGGCCTTTGCAAAAGTGTCACCTCTTTGGGGAGGACTTCCCTGACCACCCTGGGACAGACGCCCCCGCCTTGAACTCTCTAAAGCACATTTTGTTTTAATGTCTTTATCCTGAAGCTGAACTCATTTGTCCTTTATTGTCTGTTTGAGACACTCTGATGTAAAATGTGAGGCAGGAGGGACCCAGTTTCTGTTTAGTCTCTGCGAATCTTCATGGGAACGAATTATGCCTGGCTTCCAACAGGAACTAAAGGGAAAACAGTAGCTCCAATCATGTTAATTGTCGCTGACTGGGGCTGGGGCTGCAGCTCAGGTGTCGCAGGTCTGGTTAGTAGCACAGATCCTAGGTTTGATCTGCAGCACCCTGGCTCATGATGCTGCTGCAAACTGACCTCCGTTTTAAGCTCCTTATCTAAACTGTCTCCTTGAGTCCTTAGAACAAGGCAGGGCCTGTTATCAACACCATATTACAAAAGAGGAAAGTTGAGGCCCAGAGTGGTTCAGGGACTTGCCTGTGGTTGCACAGCCAGGAAGTTGGCATACTGGGTGGAAACCCAAGAAGCCTGGTTGCAAAGAAAAGTATCCCTGCAGGCTATCAGGCATGGTGTCCCTCAGCTCCTGTCCCTAGACTTGCCCCTTGACCCCCTCGACTTGCCTCTTTTGATCCCACAGCCCACACACCCGCAGGCCCAGCCCTCGGACCGCAGGCTGGGAGGAACCCCGCGGGTCTGGTTTACTTTCCTCCCTGCTGTGAGTTTACAGAGGCGCTTCCCAGGCTGCCCAGGTGGGGACAAGTGATTAAAAGCAGGTCTGAGGGTCCAGACTGCACTCACTAGACAGCAGGGTCAACTGCCCCGGACCCTGAGCCCCACCCTGGACTGACAGACGGACAGCTGAGCAGATGTCCCGAGCATGGCTGACCACTCTCCTGGGGCTGCTGAGTGCGGCCTGGCTGCCTGCAGGCTCAGGGAGGCCTGGACCCCCAGCCCCGCCGGGGCCGGCCCTTGCCCTTGGCAGCTGGAAGGCCTTCCTGGGCCTGCAGAAACCCAGGAGGCTGGGGACAGATGGGCTGCAGGATGGGCAGGAGGTGACCACCTCCGTGTCTTTGCCACTGGACCCTAAAGAAGTGACCCAGGAAATGTGTAAGGCTGTGCCCTTCATCCAGGTGAGTGTAGGGGGCGGGGGTGGGCCGGTCTCAGCGCCTGCAGGAAGCCCAGGCTGTGGCTCAGGGCAGATCTGAGTTCATGCCCCACATCATCCACCTACATGGCTCTGAGTCTCAGCGTTCTCCCGTGTCCGTTGGGTACAGGATTGCTGGGCACAGTGGCACACCCCTGTCATCCTGGTAACTGGGGAGGCTGAGGCAGGAGGATCACAAGTTCAAGGCCAGCCTCAGCAACTTAGCAAAGCCCTAAGCAACTTAGTGAGATCTTGTCCCAAAATAAAAGTTAAAGAGGACTGGGAATGTGGCTCAGCAGTGAAGCACCCCTGGGCTCAACCCCCAAATGGGGTCCTGGCCTCTCATGTGGGAGGGAGGGTGCCTTCACCTGATCTCCTGTCTTTGGGCCACTCCTCCTCCTAAGTCTGTTTTTCCATTTAGTAGCCGAGGTACCCTGGACCCTGAGTCAGATCATGTTCCTCCTCCCCTCAGAGCCAAGCACACTCAGTGATTCTCGAGTGAATGAAGGAGTCCTAGAATTATCTGCCTCCTAGGGGCTATCAAGCAGCTTGAATGAGTGGGCGTGGGGAGCAATCTCATGGCTGTATCCAGCTGGTGCTCCATAAGGGCCTTGGGAATGCATACAGTGTGCTGAGTTCAAATCCTACTGCTACCAACCCAAGGATTAGGGTTGGTAAAATCAATGATTTCTGTGTGATTCAGGGTAAGTAGCTTGCCTTCTCTGAACCTCAGTTCCCACCTTTACAGAAGGGAGTCGGGCATAGTGAAGGATGCCTAGTGCTCAAATCCATGCCCAGCAGTCAATATCCCAGACTCCTTGGCTTGTCATTTGCCCAGAAAACCCTGAATCCAGGTGGCAGGGGTTGCTTGGCCCTGGAGCCACCTGCCTTGTGCCCAGTCCTGCCTCCGTGGCACCCCAGCCTCAAGGCCACCCTGCCCAGTGGTGCAAGCTTCACGGAGTAGAAGAGACTCTGGCTTGGAATCTGGCTGCCCCAGAGGGACACAGAGGGGCCCTGAGGGCTTGCGCCTTCTTGGCACTGCAGGACCTTGGGCTTGGAGCCTGGGCGTCCTCCTCTGGACACGCGGGGAGGAGTTGGGCATCTACCCACTGGGCCACAGCCAGACAACACGAGGTTCCTGTCTTCAGGTGGCTTAACCTCTGGGAGGAGGGTGACAAACAGAACAGCATCCCAAGATGCACACCTACCAGTCACTTGAGGGCATGCAGGACAGCACTGTCACAGGGGAGGGAAGTTCCCTGTGGGGTGCATTGGAGGGAGGATGAGTTGGAGTCAGCTGGGGGAAGGGTGGACGGAAGGGTGATCTAGGCAGAGGCCAGAGGGCGGAGGGCAGGGAGGGGACAGGGCAGAGTGTGCAGGGACTTCTGGGCCTTGGGGAGGACTTTGCATTTCATTCTAAGGAAGATGAGAAGCCTCTTGTGCTGGGGGAGGGGTGCAGGGTTGAAGCAGAAAATGGCCACGATTTAGTGGTGAGATGATAGGGGGGTCATAGGAGGAACTAACATTTATTGAGCACCAACTGTGTGCCAGGAAACACACTAAATTTTTTCTGTTTAATCCTCCTAGCCTCCTTTTATTTTTTTTTGGAGGGGTGGGGGCTACTGGAAATTTAACCCAGGGCAATTTATCACTGAGCTGCACCCCCCGCCCTTTTTGTTTTATATTTTGAGGCAGGGTCTTACTGAGTTGCTGAGGCTGACCTCAAACTTGCCATCCTCCTGCCTCAGCCTCCGAGCTGCTGGGATCACAGGCGTGCACCTCCATGCCTAGTTGGCCTCTTTTATTACTACCTCCTCCCACTGTCCCTCATCCTTGGGGTGGTAGCAGCCCTGCTGGTGACCGTCTCCAGTTGTTCTTGTCATTGTCTCCTGATTGGTTAAGCTGCTCTATTCCCTGAATGAATCCTCTCTGTTGAAAGACCTAGAGTGGTTTCTTCTTTTCCTAGTTGAACTCCACTGATTTTACAGTTGAGGAAACAGAGGCCCAGAGAGGTTGAGTAAGTTGCCCTAGGCCAAACAGCCAGGAGATGGCAGAGCCAGGACTGGAACCCAGGCAGCTTTGCTGCATCACCCATACCTCTGAGGGTGGGTGGAAGTGGATGAGCCTCACGCGCTGCTGCCCTAACCTGTCACCCTGCCTCTGGTCTCAGGTGCTCTCCCGGCCTGGCTGCACTGCTGTCCGTGTCCGAAATCACCTCTGCTTTGGCCGCTGCTCCTCCCTCTACATCCCGGGCTCAGACCCCACCCCGCTTGTCCTCTGCAACAGCTGCGAGCCCACTCGCCAGCGCTGGACACCCATGGTCCTGTGGTGTCGGCCGGGCAGCCCAGCCTCCTCCCGTCGGCGGGTGAAGGTGTCCACCAGGCTGGTGGAGGGCTGTCGGTGTGGACCAAAGCTATGACGCAGCACTGTGACAGACGCACAGAGACGCGAATCTCGGAGAGATGGGACGGCAACACGGACCTAGAGGATGGATTCTGGGTCACGAGACCAGGGACTCAGGGCCACAGACGGCTCTCCAAAGTCACCCTGCTCCCAACGACACTAGCACAGCCCCACTCACGGGGCTGGGCCACTCATAGCCGCAGCACGCACTTACTGACTGCCCACTGTTTGCAGGGCCCTTTGACAAGTGCTCACTCATGTCCTCCTCAGGAGGTGATCCTCAGAGGCCTACGGAGGCAGGGTCAACTTCATGCCATTTTACAGATTAGGAAACCGAGGCCCTGACTTTGCAAGGCACGCACCCAGCGTCACCGTGCAGTCAGTGGCCAAGCCCGCATTCACATATTTTTTTTTGTCTTTTGTGGTCCTGGGGATTGAAACCAGGTTGTGGAGACAGGGTCTCACCAAGTTGCTGAGGCTGGCCTTGAACTTGCAATCCTCATGCCTCAGTCGCTGGGATTCCAGGCACCACGGCGTCCAGCACGAATCTGATCTTAACCACTGGGCTCAGCTGCCTCTCAGGGAAGGAGCCCGCACATTCCCCGCTGCGCTGCGGGAGGACAGGTGGCCCACCCCACCAGGAGACGCAGCTCTGGTCCTGGCCTGGGGACGCCAACGCCCAGGCAGGCAGGCCGCTGCGGGGAACCTGGGTCCCGGGCCAGCCCCACTCCCAGCTGCCTCTCACCTTGACCGTGGCCGTGGCTCCCTTGTGACGCCCACCCCGAGGCCCACCCACACAGCTGCGGCCAGCGGGGCGCTCCGCGGGGCCATAAAGGTCCGCCAGGTCCAGCTGCGTGTGCTTGTTTCTCCACCTGGGGCCCCCGGGACGGGGTGCGGGTATCGGGGTGCTCCCTCTCCAGCTGGGGCCCGGGGTCTGCTGCGGGTGAGGGCAGCCTGGCTTTGGGCGGCTGGAACCAGGGCCCTGGCAGATGGGCCTGTCTGGCATAGAGGCAGGGACATGTGGCACTGTCAGTGTTGCCTCCAAATGCCCCCCGGAGCGCAGGCGGGGGAGCCGGCCGGGTCCCCCTCAGCCCTCTTCCTGCCTCAGGAAGGAAGGCCCCAGGTGAGGGAGCAGGCGGCGAGGAAACAGATGGGCCCGCGGGCGTGGGAGCCTGCGACCTCTGACCCCACAGGCCTGCACCAGGGGCTGGGAAAGGGCCAGGCAGGCGGCTCTCAAGACCCCGCTCGCAGGCCAGCAGGGAGGCTCACTGGGCCCTGGGGCGGAGTGCCCCTCCCCCTCCCTCTAGAGATTGGTGCCAACCCCTGGGCCTGTCCAAGTGGGCAGCTCAGTCCTAGCTCCCCCTTGCTGGCGGGCAAGAGGCTTCACCCCTCAGCTGTGCCCACCCCCTGCCAGCCAGGAGAGCCAGCTGGGGACCTTGGTGCCAGGGGGCCCCCAGAGTCCCTGTCCCCTCCCGGGCAGTGCCAGCCAGCCCCCACCCCACCCCCC